GGTCCGGCGTAGCCATGGGTAGAACTTAGAAGTGGATTTGAAGCACTGCCAGAATGGAATGGTTCATTGAACTTAATTCTTTTTCCCACAAGGATTTTCAGTCCTTTGCTCAGACCAACTGGGCTCTACCTAAACACGAGCGGAATCGTATAAATGCGACAAAAACTTCAAAAAGAAGAAGACAAAAAAAATAATAAAACTAATAAAAATTTAAAAGAAACAATCTCACCCACAACCTTTTCATATCTCCACCACCTTTTTTCTGTGCAAAATTCGTTTTAATTTTTTTTGCCCACATTCGGCTGCGAATTTTGAGATGATCCTCGGCCAAAAGATTTTTCTATTGCAATGCTGCACAGCATATCTTTTTTTTTCGAGTCAGATTCTTTTTTTTCAGGGTCTGGGGGGCGGATCTAGACCCTCTGGACGCTCTGGATCAGCCACTGGACCCGGACATCCGGCCCCAGACCGTCTGCACTGCGATCCGGACTTCCGGATCATATCCATGCTTCTAAGTCAGCGGCCAGCGCCAAACTCTTGACCAAGGAACTTAGACGGGCAACTTCTTCATCAAAGTGACGAGTGAGTAGAGAAGCTAAGGACTGAGTCGAATTATCAATTGTGGATTGGCAGACCAAAAAAAAAAAAAAAAAAAAGTGCTGGGAGAGCATTCATCAAGGGGAACCCATCAGCCTACCACCATGAAGGGCAAAAAAACAACAAAAAACAAAAACAAAAACAAAAACAAAAACAAACAAAAAAAACAATTTGAGCACGAGCGGATTGGCATCGACGCTTGGAGATGTGTTCGCTAAAAAAAAGCGAGAGTCATTGAACAGGGTCCTAAAGAAAGAAAGGTGCGCAAACTGTAGCAAAAGTGAATGACAAATGATAAATCATAATAATATGATAATATGCAATTTTTTTCAGAATTACAAGCGACAACAATAAAATATTGTAAATTTCCACTTAAAATTTTGCTAACTAGTTAGATTTTCCGTCTCTATTAATGTTCTTATTATCATATTAATATATTATGTGATTTTAATCACTTTATTATTGATTTAATTTGATACATAATAATGATAAACAACATGATGATGTAGGGACAGTAAGGATTAAAGTCATTAACTTCATTAAAGATTCTAAAGACGCGAACTCACAGAAAGAAGTGTCGCCATGTTCGGATGAATCATGCCTGAGCCTTTGGCCATCCCTCCAACACGAACCGTCGTGCCTCCGATCTTCACCAAAAAGTGTGTACATGCAGACAAACAAAAGAAGGGACAATATTGAATTCTGAAACCAATGAGCAAAAGGAGAGCTTGCTCTGTCAATCAATCAAAAGCCCAATCAGATCAATCAATCAAATTCTATGGAATCAATCAATCAATCAAATTCTAAGGAATCAATCAATCAATCAAATTTTAAGGAATCAATCAATCAATCGATTACATCCGTTCCTCGATCAATCATATAATCAAATCATATAATCAATCAAATTGAATCTTAATCCAGTCTAATCCAACCAGATTGGGTCCAATCCGAACCGATGCGACGTGATGCAATGCGATCGGATGCAATCCAATCCAATCCAATCCAATCCAATCAAACCAAATTAAATCAGATCAAACCAAATCAGACCAGACCAGATCAGATCAGATCAGATCAAATCAAAACAAAAATCAAAACAAACATCAAAACAAAAATCAAAACAGATCAGTCAGATTGATCAAAAGCCGATTTGATGAACTCGCAACTTGCAAAGATGAGCTTTCTGTGCCAAACAATCAAACGGAACGTCGGAACCAGATTAATCAATCAAATTCGATGGAATCAAAATTATCAAATCATACTTGCAACCGCACCGTGCACTATACCGTGCAGTGCGCCGCACGGCATGCGGTGCGGCACCTGCTCGTGCGCCGTACACGCAGCCGTCCCCGCCTTTTTTTTTTTAATGCTGTTTTTGTAGATACAGAAGAGTGCAACAAACACCCAAGGAACATATCTTTTTCAAGTACAGTCGTACAGATTTTTCTTTCCGTCCAATTGGGCAGTCTTGACATATTAGAGAGAAATAGCCTCAAATAGATGTATGGGACATCAGTCTTGCTTGACCTTCAGGTGGAGGCATTACTCTGCCGCTATTTTTTATTATTATTATTTTTTTTCCATCCCACAACAAATCTTCAAAGGGGACGCAGGTGACCATTAACCCAGGCATGCGACCCCTTTATTTTTTCTGAGTGAACATTTCCCGTGCGCCGCACATGCCATCCGCCGCACCGTGCAGGTCCACTCTTGTGCTGAATGTGCAGAGTTTTCCGCATGGCATGCGCTTGCATGTATGAATCAAATCAATCAATCCATCAAATCCATTTTATCCCGCAATCGTTCAATCAAATCATTCAGTCTTAGTCCAATCCAATTAAATCCAATTCAATCCAATCCAATCACATAAAATAAAATATAATCCAATGAAATCCAATCCAAACCGTCAGATCAGATCAGCTGAAATGAAATGAAATAAAGTCCAATCAACTGAATGATCCAGAATTTCAGATTAAACTCAAAATGATAAAATGAAACGAAATCAAATCAAATCAAATCAGAACATCAATCAACCAATCATTTTAATTTTCTTCCATCTCTAACTTGCGATAGTTTACCCTTCTAAAACATAGATTGATGGAGAGAGAGAGAGAGAGAGAGAGAGAGAGAGAGAGAGCTGTCTCTTATACACATCTAGATGTGTATAAGAGACAGCAACTTATCTTGGCAGTCCCATACGGTCATGAAAAGGGTGTTTGATCATCAATGTATACAACCTATCTTTGCAGCCCCATACGGTCACAATAAGGGTGTTTTTTTTTTCCCTCTGGGGAAGACTGTGTAATAGGCTTCACTCCAGATCCTTCCCCGGACTTACTGTGATTTGATTGAAGCTCCGGCTGACAGCTGTCGACACGAGGGACCGCCACACGTCCGCCGTCACTGCTGCGTCACAGGTGACCACCTGTGTTCACACACCGTTGAAGGAAACGACATGAAAACAAAACAAGACACAAAATACAATATCAAACCGTCAAAAAACG